AGTAATAAATGCTCCACGTTAAAATTATTTAATATTAAAGTGTATGTATCTCGTCTTCGCTTAATCTAATCTACGCGCGACTTTAATTTCGGTAGTAAATATATTATTGTCTGTTAGTGAGCGCAGCATTCGCGCCGACAACAGCGAGCTGAGCAAGTGAACGTGAAGAAGTGGTGCGCTTGACAAAGCCACCCAATTAAAAAAAAAAAAAACAAAAAAAAAAGAAAAACAAAAACGAAAGCACATAGTTACAAAGCAGTGCAAATTTGAAGGTGATTGCCTACTTCGAGTGGTGCGAGTGGTGCAAAAAAAGGCAGCAACAGTGACAGGATACGTCGCTACGTGCGATGGAGAAGCGTGATGGTGAGTTACGTGCTGAGCGAAGTGGACGCTGATAGATTTATTGACGTGTTTCTACTTCACAGACAAGCCCACGCGCCCCGATCCAATCATTTCGATTTTGGGCAGCGATTTGGGTCCTTGGCAGCTGATAGTTTGCCTTTGGATATTCCTTTCGAAATTTCCAACCGGTTGGGTGCAGGTCTCTATGGTATTCCTGCAGTCACCCATCAAAAGCTCGTGCGTTGTGCCCGACAACAACACTGATGTCTGCTCAGCTGAGTGCAAGGAGGTCGCCTATGACCGTAGCGTGTTTCAGGAGAATATCATAAGCGAATGGAATTTGACCTGCGACCGGGCGTGGTTAGCCAGTTTGGCACAAAGCTTTGTGATGATTGGCATTATGTTGGGTAACATCGTTTTCGGACTCTTTTCCGACAAGTAAGTTGGTTGTGATACCGTTAACTATCTGTTAATTGCTTATACAATACTCATCTTTCGGCCACAGGTGGGGTCGTCGTCCCATGTTTGTGAGTGCCTGTGTTATGCAACTCATTTTTGGCTGCCTTGTTTCGGCGTCTCCATGGTTTTGGCTTTTTGTGTTGCTTCGTTTTTTGGATGGTTTCGCAACGGGCGCCACCATGTCCACGGGGTGAGTACCTACCTAGAAAGAAACTGCGCAGGAAGAAATTGAAAAATTATTCACTAAATTGGCAAATCTGCCTTCCCAACAGCTTTACCATTATCATGGAGATTGTCGGCAAAAGCAAACGTGAGATTATGGCCATACTCTATCAGATCCCATTCAATTTGGGTCATGCCACACTACCGCTCTTTGCCTACTTTCTACGTCACTGGCGTTGGTATCATCTTGCCTTCTCATCCTTCTCCGTACTCTACCTGCTATTCTATTGGACTGTGCCGGGTACGTGAATACATTTCAAATGTTTGCATACTTTCGAAACAACCTGTTGTTTATGTAATTTATACACTTTCGCTTCTATCTCGCTTTCAGAGTCTCCACGCTGGCTCTTCACCACCGGCCGCACTGACCGCGCCGTCCAGATACTCGAAGCTGGCTGCAAGCGTAATAACATGCCCACTGATAACATACGCTCGGAGCTTGAGCAAGCCTCACAGATTATCGCCGCCACACCTACTTCGAAGAAAGGCAACATCATTGACCTTTTTCGTCATCCTTATCTGTGCCAGAAGACTTTGGTCATGGCTTTTAATTGGCTGGTCGTTTGCCTCGTATATTATGGCGTATCGCAGCATATTTCTAATCTTGGTGGCAACATATTTACGAATGTAGCTGTAGGCGCAACGCTCGGTGTACCCGGCACACTTATTTGCATTCCGATGACCAAATATCTTGGCCGTCGCATTACGCTCTTCCTCTCGAATTTGCTTAGCGGTGTAGCGCTGATGATTTTGGCTTTTGCACCATCTCTGAGCAGCACAATGACGGTGGCAATGGCGACGATAGGTCTTTTTGGCGCATCCATAACATTCCCGAATGTATATCTCTATGGCGGTGAGCTATTTCCGACAGTGGTGCGTAACTCAGGTGTGGGTTTGTGCTCATTTGTGGGGCGAGTGGGCTCGATAATCGCGCCGTTTATATCAGGCATGTCGGCCCAGGGTCTGTGGATACCGCCAGCTGTGTTCGGTGGATTTTCTTTGGCAGCTGCCGTTTCGGTCTTCCTGATGCCAGAGACTCGCGGCTTTCCGCTGCCTGAAACTATTGAAGATGGTGAGACTTTCGGTAGAGATAAAAAGCAGGCACAGTTGTAGATAAGGCTTTAGTAAATAATTGTTGTCTGACTTTAGGTGAGACAATTTGTTGAATATACGTAGGACCATGTATGTGTAATAAAATGTGTATCAAAAAATTATCAAACAAAACAAACATATGAAGAATGAAGAGAATCTTAAGATATCATAGTTGATTAAAGTGGCAGAGTGATCATTAATAAAAAGGCATAAATATTATTTACTTATGAAGAAACTAAATGATTATCTAATTCATGGACATTTGATTCTTAAAGAAAAAAAAATAAATGAAAGAAAATGTTAGCTTTTTTAACTACATTTTAAGCATACTTCTGTAAGGCAGGGTTTCGTCAATATTACGATACTTCACCATTCACTTACCCATTCTGCAGTTACCTTTTTCCTACATTAAAATACATCATTTAAACCAGTAATGCTCCAAGCGAGCTTTTATTTTGTGCGCGTCCTTATAAATTGCCGTGAGAGCTTTAAAGGGGTCTACTAGCACAGAATCTTTAAGGAAGTCCTGGAGAATGTGCGGACGCCCAGCAAGAGCTGTGCCTGTATTTAGACAAGTTACTATCAGAGGGAGCTTTTATTCAGTTTTTCGAAGCACATCTACAGAAAACTTCCAAAGCTTCTTCCGCGAATATTTTTTGGTCGCGACTGAATTATATTAGTGTTAATCAGAGAAAGCTTTTACTCTATGCGCGTCTATATACATAAGTCCTCTAGAAATATATTTTTAAAAAGTTTCTCGCAAAGGATACCATTAGGTCGTGAATATTTTAGGGTAAACTTATTATCTCGTTTGCGTAGAATTAGGGCATCAACAAGCACATAAACCTGCAAATCTGTAATACAGCTTTCAACCAGACCTTTCCGCTATAGTTTAGGGATTAAAACCTGATAGCTAAACAGATTTCCTTCCAAGCAACATCACATTTTTGTAGGCAGTTAGAGCGTGGTCAAGAGCTCTGGTTTGGACCAAGGTCTAAACAATTTCATAGGAATGCGAAAAAGAGCTTTTTGAGCTTTCCTTGCCTTCTATATAGAGTAGCGACGACAAGAGAGAGCTTTCAACTTGTGCGGTCTCATATAAAATTTGTAGGAAGCTTTAAAAAAAGCTTATAGCAGAAGGTAGGAAAAACATGCAACTATATAGCTTTGGAGCCTCAAAATCGGTTCGCAAAATCTGGACAATAGATGTTGAGATAATTCCACCGCAAAGCCTGTTGCACTAAGGACTTGAGGTCATATCGCGGGGATTCCAATCGTATAATGGACAATTAAGACTCCCAATAGCTACCTCGGCTCCGATGTACTCGTGACCAAGAGGAATTAGCTTCCCTTCAAGCCAAGGCATTCGCTTATCATTTGTAAGACCTCCATTGGAAAACTCTGTGATTTGGTCGTCAATCGGCAGGAAATGACAAACCTTCGAGTGTAATTTTGCCTTAAAAAAGTTTCTCATAAAACAAATAGCTGTTCTGAGGCGGCACACATTTTTACGTCCTTCCATTTGTTTTATAACATTTACATACATAGATGTACACCGTAAAGCTTGGCTAAATACTTAGAAAAATTTTAAGCGCCAAATATTTATTTATTTATAGATCGAATGTGTAAGGCTAAATGACATTTTAAGGGCACGCCTATCTACATAATTTTAATTTATATGCCTACGAATCGTCCCCTGCAAACGTAAAACCTGCTTAAGTGGGATAGGGCAAAAGTTCAAATATGTATGCACATTAGGGTGGTCCTTAATAATATGAACATCATGGGGCACCACTTTATTTTGTTGCATCTGCAAAAGAAATAAATCTCTAGAAAATCTAAATTAAAAAAAAAATATTTTTTTTGAAATCGCAAGAATTTGAAAAAATTTTTGACTATAACTCAGCGTGGTATGAATTCATATGAATAAATTTCAATTATACGCCAAATTTATTAGATTTCGCGTAAAAACTTTGTCGAATTTCGCGTTGCTTAAAAAAGGAATTTTTTTCCAACCCTGTCAGCGACCTCTAAAAACTTTTGTAAGAATTTGAAATTTTCTTAGATGTCTTTATTTTGTACGTAGAACTAAATAAAGTGGTGCTCCAAACAAAATAAAAAAATTTATATTATTTATGAACCATCCTAGTGTACATATTTACATATATATTAATATAAACAATTGCACCATTGTTTACATAACATATTTCGAATACTTTTTCCAAAAATATAATTCAATATGTCAAGACCAAATACATTTTAGCAAGACAAACAACAGCACATCTACCAATATATACATACATGCTACATATGTATGTACATACTCAAGGCAGAAGACACTTCCTTGTATGTGAAACCGGTCTAAAATATATTTGAACATCAATTGATAACCTGCGGCTAACCTCAAGTGGCTAAATTTTTATTTTATTTTTAATTTAATGGCCATAAATAAAAATCATATGAAAGCGAAGCTACCGACGCTGTTGCGGAAAGTGGTTTGTGTATACTAGGGATGTTGCGAATGTTGCGAATTTTAGACATCCGCGGATGCAAATGCGAATGCGGACATCAAGTGTACGCAAATCCAATTTGTGACAGCAAATGTCAGTTTGTCTTTGATTCTCTAAAAAAAAACGTGGTTAAAAAAATTGGCGTTTTTCAAGATCTTTTTTTTAATATTTTTTTTAATGAAATTTTTTTGTGTAATTTGTTTTCGAAAACTTATGATGAATTATTTTTAGCAAGGTTTTAAAAATAGGGTTTTTGAAAAAAAAAATTATTGCGGATTCCGATAGAATACCTATCCAGAAATAATATTTGTGTGGCAAGACTTTTTTTTAAGGCGACAAACCCCTAGAAATGGGCGTGGCAATTGTAGGACTAAAATTAGCAAACCGCAGATTTCATTGCGGGTTCCGGCAGAATATCCCTTCGTTAACAATATTTGTTCCGCAATACATATATTTAGATATTCTGCCGAAACCCACAGTAAAATCTAAATTTTTGAACTTGGGTTTTAAAATTGCCACGCCCATTTCTTGCAGATGCTTTGATTGAAAAAGTTGTGAAACAAATTCAGTTTGCTATCAATGTTCCTTTGGGTAGATCTATGCATGAATTTAATATAATTTCTCAAAATGTTACAATTGACTTTGCATTACCAAAACGAGCTTTTATAAATATTCTAAACGCAATTTTTCAATGTTAGTTTTCTTTACTTTTATTTATATTTTATAATATTATTTATGCCTTATGTAAACAGACTGTAAGGAAATTGTTTCATAGATTGAAATCAATAAATGAAAAAATAATAATTCACGAATTTTTAAGTAGACAGCCATAGGTTCAGAAAATGTAACGCAAACTCGAACTTTACAAAAATAATTGCGAAATATAGTCGATTATGGTTACCTTCGATTGATTGCTGAATTTGTGTAAACAGCAAGCAACAGCTGCAGTTTTGGTGAATTCATTTGTAAAGGCAAAGATCAAGTAAAATATGATTTTTTTTTTTACAGCGACAAGTCCTTCTACAAATATTAGTTTTTTGTGGCAATATTGCAGCCCATACCCGTTGCTTCGCTGCAGCCATTGGGGAGTAATATGCGACAGCGCTGCATGCAGCGTGGAAAATTTTAAATGAAAAACTAAAAATCAGCAAGCCATAAAATGTAGGAATACAGAAGTTCAACATTTTCATGCACCATTAAATTCAAATATGTAACGACACAGGTAAAATGCATTTTTTTACGCGGGTATCCGCAGCCTTCACTGTTGACCATACGAATGGCTATTGCCATTTTTTCATAAAAGCAATATTTTTACAAGTTTTTCTACCAACAGGAGTTGCAAGTACAAATGCTGCCTATGGCATTTGCTGTGAGCTGAGCTTGACAGCCAGCTAGCCAGCCAGCCAATATTGTTGACATACAGATGTATTTGCACACATTTTATAGGCAATTTTAGTTTGTTTATTTTTTCCGCTATTAACCACACAAGTCAATAGTTGCTTGGTTTGTGCGAGAGTGTTTTGACTGGACAGCAGTTACCGATACCTGCGCCAGTTTCAACAGCTGCTATGCACTGACATATGTAGAAGTCAACAAGTAGGGCGACCCCTGTGGTGTTTAGCTGTCAAATGTGTTTGGTAAAAAAAAATTAAAAACTGGGCCTCGTCAAATATTTGAACTATTGCTTAATTGAATTCATAACAAGCATTTATGATTTTTTTTGCGTGTATCTATGAACGCTAGTACAGCACTTAAAAAGGTCTTATAAGATTATGGAATAATATTTTTCCAGCTGAAATTAGAGTTTTTATTAATTTTGTGCTAATATCCACTTAGTTTGAACTTTTAGAATAATTTAAAATTTATGCATTTCTTACGATCTCATACCAGGGTTACTAATACTCATTTGCAATATGTGGGAAATATTTTAAATGTTTAGAAATTTTAAATGAGAGTGTATGTATGTATTATTTTATTTATCTGTGCTATTTAATGTGAGTGTAATAAATTAAATAGTTTATGAAACTATAGTCACCGTTTAATGTCGCGCTTTGGCAGTTATGAATGAAATGTTCAAATTTATTGTGGTTGTACACATTTGCGTACAGGTTTCGCACATCTCGCAAGTTTAATAATATAGTGAGGTAAATCAGAATTTTGAATAAGTAAAAGTGTTTTAAAACCACAAGACTTAAGGGGTAAAGTTCTTAGCTACCCTATATGAGCTCATGCAGAGATCAGTGAACTTGGTTGAAAACTGGACTACGTTACACAGAATCCCCGTTTAACTTTCCTCCTTTCCGTTAAGACTTTCACGGATGCATCGAAGCTAAACGGAAAGGTAGTTACCGGTGTAATTTTCAAGGAACTCTCCATCAATTTTAGGCCTTTGAATCACAGCACCTACTATTTTACAAGCAGAGCTAACGTTAATAAAGGAAGCAGCGCACTGAATGATATCCTAATAGCCAGGCGGCAATAATGAATGGGAATGCGTGAATTTCCTCTGGATTGCTCCAGTTTAATAAGCTGGTGTGCTTCGGGACAAATGATTTTTTTTTAGTCAGCGCTACTACTATCTGGAGATGTAACTATTTCACAAATGACACTGGTGGACACTTAAACGAAGCCCGGAACATTTTAAGGTTGGACCGGGACACCTGCACAAATAGCTTAAAACCGGGACATGTCCGGGAAAACCGAAACGTCTGGCAGCCTTAGATACAACTGATATGATATGATATC